CGTCACTGCTCAGCGAGGCGTTTCTTGACCATACTGTCCATAAGTGCAACTCTTCTCCCCGAATGCCCTAAATCTTCTTTCTCTGCTTTATTTTTCCCCTTGGCATCAACAGTTAATGACAATTCTCTATCTTATATTATCTGATAACATCTGTCTCCCTCCACCGGAACGTAAGCTCCATGAGGACCAGGAAGTCTGTCTGCTTTGTTCACTGCTGGATCCCAGGACTCGGAACAGTGCATGTAACAGGCATTCAGTAAATCTTTGTTGAATGAATAGGTGAATGGTGGTTATTTGGGTTGTTTTCAATCTTTTTCCACTAAAACAAATGCTGTAATGAGCAATGTTGGTCATTACATTACATTGTACACTAATCATTTTGCTTATGTATAAGTACATCTGTAGGACAAATATGTAGAAGTTAAATTGGGCTGAAGGACATGAACAGTTGTAATTTTGATAAACATTCTCTGAACATTTTGATGGTTAAAAATCCTACCATAGTCTACCACTTTATATTGAACAAATCACATGATTAATTTAATTGCATGGTATCCCATGCTGACCTGGGTTTTTACCTACACGGAAAGAAAGTAATCAGGAGAAAAGCTGCCCAAGGAATTCAAGAAGTTCATTAGCCGTCACCACGAGTTACTGTCCTATCAATGATGCTAGTGGGTCATCATGGCAGCCTGGCCACATTGCATTCATCATACCCAGTAACTGCTTGAAGACATGGACTGCAAAGTCCAAATCTGATAGCCTGAATAATTTCCGATGTTGGAAGGCTCTATGGAAGGGAAGACCTTCCAGGTCATTGAGCATAATCTATGGAGAGCCAATGCTTCTCCCACAGGGATTCTGAGATGCCCTGGCCAAAAACTCTTGGACTTTGCCAGAGGTACCAGACAGTATGACCCTTGGGGATGTCATTTACATTATAATCTATATGAATGGAGCAGTGCACAGCATGGGCAGCTAGGGCATTGAGCTGGTACTTTATAGCACCATTCTAGGGCAAGAACTCGAAATGGCTCCTAAGACCCCTCATATCTCCCCAGTTCTGTGCTGAAACAGTCACAGCTCTGCAACAGTAGTTTGCCACATATAGACTGTCAGGCATTTGTTTCTGAGAGTCGGCCCATCCTTCTGCAGATGACTTGGAGGGATTTGTAAATAGGAACCTCACCCCAGCCATCACCATTGGCCTCACTTGCTTGACTCCCTGAGGGGGCTTGGATGGAGCCCCCCAGAGCTTCCTTCTCAGCCAGCTCAGCTCAACCATGGGGTGTGAGATGGAGAAAGGCAGATTAGCAGTAGTGTGCTGGGGTTTTTGTTCCTGCAAAACCTCTCCTGCCCATCTCCCAAAATGTGGGTTTGTTTTTAGCCATTCCCAGGAATATAAGAAGGAACGGTTTTAGATGAAATTGTAAGGTAGGGGACATTTTTATTTAACCCTCCACTCTTGCCACCTGGCTCTCAGCCACCAATTTTCATGAAGCCAGTTTATCAGCTGGAGAGCATGGGATGTGGAGTCTATGGACATGAGTTCAGGTTTTCCCCTGCTTCTTGCCAGCTGTGTAGCTTCAGGAGAGTCACTTTATTTTTATGTTGATTTTTAATGAATTAATTACTTTTTGGAGATGCGGTTTCACTACTGTTACTCAGGCTGGTATCTAACTCTTAGATTCAAGGGATCCTTCCACCTCAGCCTCCCAAGTAGCTGAAATTACAGGCACACACCACTGCGCCTGGCTCCTGGATTTGATTTTTTAAAGTCTCATGAAGACCCTGGCCTCTGCAAATGCCAAAGTGGATTCACATGGTTTCCTGAACATCCTGGAAACCGTTTTAGAAAGAAGCACCCCAAGGTCAGGCGCAGTGGCTCACGCCTGTAATCCCAGCTCTTAGGGAGGCCAAGGCGGGCAGATCACCTGAGGTCAGGAGTTCGAGACCAGCCTGACCAACATGGAGAAACTCTGTCTCTACTAAAACTACAAAATTACTCAGATGTGGTGGCGCATGACTGTAATCCCAGTTACTCGGGAGGCTGAGGCAGGAGAATAGCTTGAACCCAGGAGGCGGACGTTGCGGCGAGCCAAGATCGCGCCATTGCACTCGAGACTAGGCTACAAGACCAAAACTCCACCTCAAAAAAGAAAGGAAAGGAAGTGGAAGGGGAGGGGAGGGGAGGGGAAGGGAGGAAAGAGAGGAGAGGAGAGGAGAGGAGAGGGAAAGGAAAGTGTACATAAACCATTTTGCACCCATCTAATTGGCAAAAATTGAAGACTGACAAATGTGGAACAACTGGGATTTTCATGTACAACTTGTGGGAGTGATAGCAGATACAACCATTTGGGAGTGCAATTTAGTCAACATCGAATAAGACTGAAGATGTGCATACCCTTTGAGACAGCAATTCCACTCCTAAACATAGATACCGTAGAGAAACATGTATGCATGAAGACCTGCGTAGTGTTTATTGTAACATTATTAGCAATGGTGAAAACTGGAAACAATTTAAATGATCATTAACTAGAGAATGAATAAACAAATTTCAGTTTAGTCCTACAGCAAAATACTATGCATCCATGAAAACTGATGCACTAGAGCTATACACCAAAATTGGTAAATCTTAAAAACTCATGTGAAGCAAAAATAAAGGCAAGTTGCAGAATACATATAATATGATGCCATTTATGTAAAGGTTAAAAGTATGCAGAAATGCTAAACATTGTTTATGGATACACATATATGTATAACAAGTTTCAAAGAATGTATGATCAAGACAAATCCCAAATTTAGGATAGTGGCTGCTATAATCTGAATGTTAGTATCCCTTCAAAATTCCCATGACAGAACCTAATACTCAGTGTGATAGTATTAAGTAAGAGGTGGGGGTCTTTGGGAGGTGATTAGGTCATGACAGTGGAGCCCTGACAGGATTAGTGCCCCTCTAAAAAGAGGCTCAAGTGAGTTCCCCTGAACCTCTGCCATGTGAGGATGCAGTGAGAAAGTGCCATCTTTGAAGCAGAGTCCTCACTAGATACTGAAGCTGGGTGCCTTGATCTTGGACTTCCCAACCTCCAGGACTGTGAGCAATAAATTTCAATTGTTTATAAATTATCCAGTCTAAAGAATTTTTGTTGTAGCAGCAGGAATGGAATAAGACAGTTGCTATCTTTGGGAAGGGAAGGGAATGGGATCAGGGAGAGCTACACTGGCAATTTAATGGCATCTGTAATATTTTATTTCCTAAGAATTTTTATTATATTATTAGATATGTGTTTATACGCCTGAGATATTTCATAATTAAAGAGATAATTTAAAGTGTGTCTGAATCCAGTGGGGAGCAGTATTGTGTGTGTTGAGACCAGCAGCTGCTCCTATGAATCTGTTCCTCTTGCTCCCAGAGTTACATACAGGTGGCTCTTAACACCATTGAGGAGCCCATCTGGAGACCTTTGTGATGTTCCACACTTAGGAACAACACCAGAGCATATAATTTCCTCCTAAAGTTTAGTAAAGTAGAACTGGAAAACTGAAGTGAACATTTTAGACTGATCATGGTTCTAGAGATACAGTTGTAATTTGTTACAAACAGTTGGATTTCTTTTCATGGCTATTTTCTCCCAAAGAAACCAGGTTATTTTTTTTTCTTTGTCAGATATCATGTGTTTACAACAACCCTACGGCCAGCCACATGGCTCAGGATTCACATTCATGCCTCAGGAGATTCATTAAGTGCTTCATAAAGTGGATCTTTGAAGTTGGTCATGTGTAAACCTCAGATAATATATCCAAGAACACTGAGGGACCATTTAGGCACTGTCTGGTGACTATGGAGTGGCATGTGCCCTAACCAGTGCTACACCCGAAACATCAGGAGCCTACGGGGATTTCCAACCCTATCAGATTTGGGTTCTTCTTCCTGTGTCATCCTGCACAAACTGTTTGTGTAAAGGGATGTGTGTGTGTACACACATGTGCAAGGTGGCACCAATGAACACTGAAGAATTCAAGCTGGCCTGGCTGAGCTCTGACCCTGTGCCCATGGGCTATAATCTCACCAGGTCCCTGCTGGTTGATACTGATCAGCTGGCATTTAGAGATGGACTCTCAGCCTGACCAGCTGGGGTTGCCAGTGTACATGGCTTGGGGCAACTTGAAGGGAATGCCAATCTGCATTTGAAAATCTTTTATTCGTCCATGGACTGAGGCATGCCAGTTGTGCCCAGTGGTCTGAAGGGTCATAGACAGGCAAGACCATGGGTGGAGACAGACCATCTTTAGGGAACCTGCATATACATCTTTAGGATGCCCGTGCCTCTGCTGCACCCTTCATGAAATGTGAACAGTGATCCTGCTCATCTTGCTCCCTGGGCTATTGAGAGAATTAAGAGGAAGTGTGAACGGCTTTGCTAAGGTTAAAATCACCACTCATGTAGTCTATTATCTTTAATAAAATAGCGACTTCTTTCCTTTGATTTGGATACAAGGGGAGATTCCCAGGAGCTTTCTTCTCTTAGGCATCTTCTTGGTTCCTGCTGCCACACAATGAAAGCCCCCATGAATGAATGAATGAATGAATGAATGAATGAATGAATGAAGCTCCCTGCTCTCATGCCCTAGCCAAACCTGACTTCCCACTGTTGCCTCAAGCATGTCCAGTGTTTTTCCACACCCCTGCTCATGCAGTTCCCTTTGATTATAATGTCCTTTGGCAGTTCACTGCAATCCTACCTGTTCCCTAAGGCTCTTTCAGTTGTTACTACCTTTCTGAAGCTTTTATAATTTCACCCAAATCGATGTGACATGCCTCTCTTTGGAAGAGGGCAGGGCCCATGCCCCCTTCCCTGTGCATCTCTCCAGGGCCTGGCACAATACCCAACATATAGCAGGTATTTGGAGTGCATTAAATTCCATGAAATTGCATGAAGCTGACCAGGCCCAGTAGACCTGTTGCTGTTCCCTGGCATGTGGGAGCCCCAAACCCTTACCTTGGGAGTGAACATGTGTAGGATGCCATCAACTGCCCCTCGCAGCAACAACCCCCGGACCAGGAAGCAGGCCAGCACCACGTAGGGGAAGAGGGAGCTGAAATACATCACCTGCAGGGAGGATAGGCACCCCCCATCAGGCAGAGCCCTTCCTGCAGCTGGTACCCCCCATCCCTGCTCACATCTGGGGCACATGAGCTGCCCCTGATGGCAGCAGAAAGCAGAGCCCTGGAACCCCTGGGCATAGGGCCAAGCCTGCCACACATCTGGCAGGGAGCCAAGGCAGAAGCAGGAACAGGACAAGCTGGAGTCTGCATGGCTGCTGTGCCTGGGGTTGGTTTTCTCCTTTCCAGAGCTGGCAGGGCTGAGCTAACAGCCTCCTCACCCCAGAGAGCTGCCAAGAGGGTGAGGGAGTCCTTTGCTGTCCCCTCCTGATTCTCCCATGTCTCATTCCCCCAGTGGGCCTCCTAAGGATCTCCCCTGTCCTTAGAGCTCCTTTCACGGAAGACCTGCAGGAGGTTATAGACACGGCTCCCAAGCAGAAGACATCTGAAGAAGTCCCTAGCCCCTTGTGAGGATGAATCGTGTGCTCTTCTCTAGCACCGCATTTCTCGCACATGTCTATATCCCTGTGCGCGTGGTACACAGCCTCACACAAAACAGATGCTCACAAAATGCTTGCTGCACTGAAACAAAGGAAGAGGGCTGTTTGGGCAGGGTGGTGTAAAGGCTAAGAGAATGCATGTCTGGTATTAGGCTGCCTGACTTGTAACCCTGGCTCTACCATTTACCAACATGTGACCTCAGGCATTTCATTTAACCTCCGTGAGCCTCCATCTCCTCATCTCTAAAATAGGTGGAATCATCCCTAACTCATAACGTTGCTGTGGACCAAATGCGTTCATGGGTGGCAGTACCTGAGAAGTGCCATGAAGCATCAGCTACTATCTCAGCCTCTGGAAAGGGAAGAGGTCAGTGGCTGGGGTCACTCTACCTTTCAAGAGCTTAGCTTCCTTGCTCATCAAATCCAGTAAAGAATCTGAAGCCTCAAACAGCCAGGGTTCTAGCTGCAGCTCTGAGACTGACTGGCTGCGTGATGTTAGCTGAGGTGCTTTCCCCTCTCTGGGCCTCACTTTCCTCATCTGTAAAATGAGTAGCCTGGGATACAGGATCTCTAATCCAGTCCTTTCCCTCCCTGGCAGCACATGAATACTGATAGGTGACAAGTAAGAAAGGGCCCTTATTTAAAGGGGATCTGAAATGCTGGGAAGAGGTGTGGGGCTTGGCTGGTCTACCCCTCAGAGACTGCTATGAAGCTGCCCCCTGAGACCTCCAAGGCCCCCTTCACTTATAGCATCTACCTGCTCAAAGGGCCCTTTAGCTGTAGTCATGGCAAGTTGCTGGTTTTCACCAAAAACTGCTCAAAGCTGGTTCTTCCAGGGCTTTTGCTCTTGGGAACCTGAGGGTCTAGAATCTAGACAGATGTCCCTGGGTCAATACTTCTAGTTTTCCTCTTCTCTAATGTTTGCATTAGAGCAGGCCTGAGTTATCTGAGCATGGAAGCGGCTGGGGTCCAAGGCAATGACTTTCTAGCTATTCCATTCCGGGTGGGCTGTCCATGGTGAGCAATACTATAGAAATGATACTTCCACGCCCTCCTCTGGGGGCCCATGTCATCATCCAGAGCCATCCACAGCCCAAACCCCCCTGGAAGACCCTGTAAGGGGCAGCCTGGAATTCTCTGCCCTGTGCCCTCTGTGCCTTTCTGCTGTTCCCCATTTGGGTCCTGGGTGCCCCCCAGCACTCACCTTCCCCGAGGACTGGATGCCCTTAACAACAGCCATCCCCACGATGCTCCAGGCCACGAGAAGGCACAGGGTCATCTTCCAGTTGAGGCCCCCACTCTCCGAGATGGAGTCAGAGATGTCCAAGGCCTCTCGGTACCAGAAGTAGGTAGTGGCTGAGCTCTTTTCACACTCTGCTTCCACCACTGAAATAGCAGCAAAGATCACAGGGCCTCAGTGGCGGGGACTATGGGGTCACTTCCTCTGCTGGACCCCCACTCAGGGCAGTAGTGGGTGAGGGAGCAGCTGAGGGTGCGCAGCTGGGAGGGGCTGTGCTCATTCTGGGTTAGCCAGGATCTGGCAGACCCTGAGGAATCCTAGGCTCCCAGTGGGGTCTGGGAGGCTTCAGGACACACCGGCCTGGCTGATTCCCACCCATGCCTCCCGCTGCCCACGTCTCTCCATGGAAGGGAGGAAACGTGAGGCTGAATTGGCCTAAAGTTCCTTGGGGAAGGTCCTGAGCTGGGAGCTAGAGACCTGGATTCTCATCCCAGATCATTGGTTAGATGAGTGGTGTGAACATGGGAAAGTCGCTTCTGGGCCTCGGTTTCCTCATCTGTGCAGTGGAATAACAGGGTGAGTAATAACAATTAAAGTCACACTTTCCAGAGTTTCACCTACACTCATTATTGTATTCAATCCTGTCAGAAAGAGGCTGGAAAAGAGACCATTCCCACTGGGGAAGGGGAAATGAGGATCAGAGATGTTAAGTGACTTATCCAAGGTGACACAACAAGTCTGAAATTCCAAATGTGTGCGCTAAGCCTGTGAGACCCCTTCCTGGGACAGGGCTGGCTGGCATCCCCAGCTGGGCCCCATACTTGCCTGCCACGCTCCCATTCCTGACGACAGGACATTCACTCCAGGGCAGCGGGTACTGGAAGGACTTGAAGAAATAGAAGATGCTCCACCCGATGATCACGTTATAATACAGCCCCACAAAGAGACAGACCTGGGGACAAGCCCGCTGCGGGGTCACTGAGGCTGCAGGCAACTCCACCCTGCCCCCACGCCCAACCCGAGGCCCAGCACATGGGCAGCGACACAGAACACAGCAGCACAGCCTCAAGGGAGGCAAGGAGGGATGGGGTGTGGGCCGTGGAGGAGCTCCCCTCACGCTCCATTCATCTGGTATTCAGGGAATCCACAAAGGAATTTTTCAGATGTTAAAGTTCTCTCTTTTAAGCAACAAACTCAAAATGTTAATCCTTTCCAGTTTGAAATTCTTCTAAGATACTTGAAGTCCTTTCTCCTCCTCATTTCCTGATGACTCAGGATGGTAATGGCAGAGATGCCCTCCAGGATTGTGAAGGCACGCACAGCTTTGACCCCTACGGTAAACAGATCCAGATTGCTGTGCTTTTAGAGACTCTCTGGGTGTTTCTTGTGGATTCTACTCTCTCGGGCGTGTTAGCAGCCCGCCTCTAGAAAGATGGCTCTTGTCATTTCTTGGAAACACAATAACTAACTTTAGTCGAATTTTATTTAAAATAGGAGTGTATGGACTCTGCCTGAGGGTCCAAGGGGCTTCTTTGAAAGGAATGTTTCTATGGGCAGGGATTTGCTGCATCCACTCTGGACACAGAGTGGTCCCTTCCAGAGCCATGACTGTCTCCTGAGGCAGTGAGACGGGCGTCAGTGTGAGAGCTGAGGGCCACTTGCTTCATCAGTCTCACCTGAGCATGTGTGTGCAGGAGCAGCTGCTCATACAGCAGAACTTTCTGGGAGCACAGACAGAGTGAGACGCCCACTTCCTTTACTTGTGTGATTTCAGTACAAGTGGGAGACCATACACACACTCCTGTGTATCAGCACACAGCCAGCCCCAGCAGAATACATGGCATTGGCCAGTGCAAAGCTGATGGCTGACATGAGAGCAGGGGGCTGCAATAGGCCTTCTCCCAGTCTCTGCCTGAGGCAAGTCTGGGCTGGCCCTACTGCCAGGCCTGGTAGAATCCTTAGTCTCTTCCAGAAGTTCATTCCAGTCTTTATCCCAGGTGTGAGCAGTAAGCATGGGCCCCTATAGGCTTTGCCCTTAAGGGATGCTGTTTCCTCGTCTAGAGCTCTGAGCAGGGTCTCGTCTGTAGCCTTGTGGATGAGCCCGGAGACCTCACAAAGTTCTCCATCCAGGGCCACGGGAGTCTCCCTGTCTCTCACTTTCCAAAGCGTCATCCGCCTTGGGTTGACTTTAAGTTTCCTGTGTGAGTTCTCCAAGTCTGCTCTTTGGCACAGCAAAATGGCAAGGAGACCCAGAGCCCCAGGCCTGCCTTTTCCTGAGCTCCCTACTTGCCTTATTAAAATACTCTTTGACCAAGGAAAGAGGAGGGACCTCCCTCATGGGGAGCTGAGGGACTGGTAAGCAGAGAAGGGCATCTGGGCTAGTCCATATGTCCCCAGAGAACTCTGGCTGAGCTGTCCCAGGCGGCCCCACGTGAATATGTCCCAGCTTTTCCTCCTTAGCACCAGTGGCAAATCTTCCACACTGTTTCAGGCAATGTGGTCGACTTTCAGTTTAGGAAACATGGTGACTGGGGTCTTGGAACCCCAGCTGTGAGTAATTCCCATGTTGAGAATCCCCCTCCCTGCTCTTGTCCTGATGTAGGACTCTGGCCTGGAAACTCGGTGACCTCCTCTCCAATGCCCAGGAGCAGCCCCCTGCCTCCCGCTCAGTGCCTGCCCCAGCCCTTGACTCACTATGCAGCTGGAGAAGCCGATGCCCCCCAGGCGGGGACACACATAGTGCCACACACCAATGCTGCCGCGGCGGATCCTCTGGCCCACGGCCAGCTCTAGGAAGAAGAGGGGGATGCCGATGATGATCAGCAGCACCAGGTAGGGCACCAGGTAAGCACCTGCAGGGAGAGCAGAGGGATGGCAGAGGGGCTCTGGAGCACAGCAGCAGAGTGAGGGAAGGCACTACAGCCATGTCCTCCAGTCTCAGCCACATCTCTGGTCATCCGCAAGTTGTCACCAGTCTCGGTGCTCCTCCGTGAATGTTCTGGCCCTAAGCGTGGCCTACCACACAGCAGCCCACCGGGACCCACCTTCTCCCCCTTGGCTCCCCTGACCTGAAACACTAAGGCAGGAAGTGTATGTATGTCAACTCACAAGGCTAGGTTCAGAAACAGACAGACATTGCACTGCTTCTCCAGAATCCACATGTCAAGTCACAAGCGGCAGACACACTCACCTCATGAGGTGCTCCGTGGACACCTGTTCACACCCCCTGCTGCCCACAGAGAAGCAGCCACAGATGGCATGGGGGCTTACTCGCCCCCAGACGCACAGACACTGGGTGCAGCCTTCCCAGAGTCTGAACCAGACGCTGATGCAGCAGACTGGGCAGCTCCAGGGAAGCAGAGCTTGGAAGCTCTTCAGGGAGAGGGGGGCCTGACCAGCTTTGCCATTAATCTCCAGCTAATTGAGAGGAACGGGAGAGAAATTAGCAGTTCAGAAAAGCGTGGCCAGGAGGATCATAAAGGATAGAATGGGTCTCGCTAAAGATTCCAGATGATAAATTAATCTTGCTGTCCTGTCCTGGGCCTCACTGCAGAAACAATCTCAATTCCAAGTGACAGGGCATTTAGCAGGAGAATTAAAACCATGTCTGGACACAGATGAGTGCACCCCGCTGAGAGCTGTGCCAACAACCTAGTCCTGTTAGCAAGGCCCTGCCTATCTGTCAAACACTGTCAGGCCAGCCCCAGTCACCAGGGCCCTGATGGTCACCCAGCACTCTCTGACTAAGCCTTGCCAGTAGAGAGCCTCCAGAAGCCCCCAGATACACTGCTCTGACCCCATAACATAACATCCCACATATTCACCAACATGTGCCCAATCTGCCAATGAACACTGGCAATCGGGCATCTCCTAGGCACAAATTCTGCCACTTGGCAACAATTAACTATTTACTGCAGGTCCACTCTGTGCCATGCACATGCAGCAGGGGACAGTGGAGTAACAGAAGGCAGAGACACCATCCTAGAACGGTTCACGATCTGCTGGGGAGGCAGGCAGAGTCACATGAGTAATATGAGCACGCATGTGTATACACATCCCCCCCCCCCAAAGACTAGTCACACAGGCCAACCAAGCACATACATGCTGAGGAAGGGGCCAAGGTCCCATGGAGCTAATCAGGAAAACCTTCTGGGGAGGCAACCCACCGAGCTTTATAGGACAGCATCTCACTCACTAGATGCACACATGCACACATACATTCAACTCGTCACTAACAAGCAGTCCCATCATGGTGCTCAAAGAGGAGAGGGCCCAAAGGGCCACATGCTTAGACCCCTGGGTCTGTCTTTAACTCAGTCTCTTGGTCTTGGGTGTGGGGAAATGGAAGAGGAGCTAAGTGATCTGCTGCAGGAGGGCAAAGGGAGACAGCCTCACTGGTTTTGTATTTCGCCCCAGTGTTCTGCGTGGGGCAAGATGTGCAGGGAGGTGAGTTTCAGGGTGTCTGCAAAGTGGGTTGGCACCTACTATGGATGCCTCTTTTTTCTCCCCAAAGAATCAGGGCAAGCCTCCAGGTAACTGCTGCCAAAGAGTGACAGGGGTGGGAGTGCAAAGACAAGGTACTGGCCCCTCACCATCCAGGCTCTGTCCACCTCAGGCAGGCTGCCAGCCCTGAGTTGACTACAGGTCTCTCTACCACTCCAAAGCCTAAACTAACCAGAGCGCTCAGGGGGCCACGGTCAAGATAGGCAGAATCTGTGGTTAATCAGAGGTACTTTTTCATATCAACCTTTGCTGCAATCACTAGAAAATGCAACAGCACCCTCTTCTGCCTTAGAAAATACAACCTGGGGACACAACTGGATTTCCTTTTATGTTTCAACAGCTTTTGGGAGCCTCAAGTTGTTCATCCAAATAGCGGGGAGCACTGTTCAGGATGTTAGGAGATTTATCAGGACAGGGCCAGGATCCAGGATCTCTGAGGCCTTCTGGATCTCTTATCATCTATGCCTCGGTCAGTATTCTAAGCCTCACTTCTGGCAAACCCTGAGGTTATTCCTGGGGTTTAAAAGACCATCTTGGTGGTAAGAGCCAGGTCCTGAAGTCAGACCTCCTGGTTTTAATGACTTACTAGCTGTGCAACTTTGGGAAAATATTTGATCTCTCTGTGCTGCTGTTTTCTCATCTGGTTGAAGAGGATGAAAATGTTACGTATAAAATTGCTGATATTTGACCATTTTTGACTTACAAAAATGGCCATTTCATAAGCTTTGACCCAACACCTATCACACAAGGCTGTTGCAAAGATTGAATGAGTGGCTTACCCATAGTAAGCAATGGTTGAACACTTGCCTTTTTCTCATAAAAATAAACAGAAGGAAAAGCAAACTAGGGAGACGTCAACATTTCGTGGAGCTAAGGAGAGTGTTCCAGAGTTTCTGTCCAGAACTATGCAAAGTTTGATTAGATCGACTATGGCTCAAAAGCACAGACTCAACTCTCAGACCAAACAGTTGTCTTCTTCCTGTGATAATTTGCCTCCTCCTAAAAAATATTTAAGACGACTTGCTATAGACTCCGTGTCAACAAACAAACAAACAAACAAAAACCTGTAAAAGGGCCAGGAGCGGTGGCTCAAGCCTGTAATCCCAGCACTTTGGGAGGCCGAGACGGGCGAATCATGAGGTCAGGAGATCGAGACCATCTGGCTAACCCAGTGAAACCCCGACTCTACTAAAAAATACAAAAAACTAGCCAGG